CAGGGCGCAGGAGCGAGCGGTGGCTGAGCTCAGCTGCTGGTAACACGGTGTCCAGTGAGCAGGGCGCAGGAGCGTGCGGACTGGCCCCCTGAGGGGCAGTGCCCAGAGGGGCAGTGCCAAGCCCCTTCCAGGGTGGCCGGGCCAGGGCTCTGGGTCAGCCTCAGCCTTGTCCTCGGACTTTCCCTCCGTGTGCTGAGCGGTCCCCGCCGCTTCAAGGACCGGCCCTCCCGCCAAAGCTGACGAAGGAAGGAAGCAGCTCAGGGCATAAGAGGGGAGGGGGCTCGCTTCGTGAAGGAGAAAACACTGTCACTGAAGAGACCTCACAGGCGTCCTTGTCACCCTGGAGCGGGCTGCGGGACTGGCCCATGCCCTGAGGCTGCGGAGACTGCCCCCAAACTGAGGTCACCTGAGAGACACGGGGCTTTGTTAGCGGGAAGGAAGGGGGCTCGCGGGGAGTCGCTAATGGCCAGGCCAGTTCAGGGCTGCCCCGGGCACTTCGGACAGAGCCTCTGTGGGAACCTCAGTCCTCCGCACAGACTCACAGGGCGGCACTCGGGCTGCGGGATGGGGTCCCAGCCTCTGCAATTCTGGAAGGTTCCCAGGAGACGTCAATGTTTCTGCACAGTGAGTTTATATAGACGCTTTCCCGACCGCCTCGCTTGAGGTGCCCCATCGCTGCCACCCGAGGACAGCAGGGAAGGCCACGGGCCAGAGAGGCCAGGCCCTGGGGCAGCCGCCTGGGGTGCCGGAGACGACGGTTTCACACGGTGGACCCCGCATTCGGTTGCATTAGCTGCGTTCTGGCTCAGGGTAGGCTGGCCCTGGTCCAGGTGCTCTTGAGATGTGCAGACGTAAACAAAGCCCACGTGAGCGGACAGAAGCTGCCCCTGAGCCCTCGCTCAAGGAGGGGCGTGAGCCCCTCGGCCCTGCTTTGCCGGACGCCACAGACTGGCAGAGGCGACGGAGAGCCCTCCCTGCCCCAACTGGAGCCGTTGGCACCGGGAAGCTGGTGGGCTCACTAGAAACAGGCATCTCGTGGGGTTGGTTTAGGTGCGTATTTGGCTTTTTCTGGTTGGTCCTGAGTTAGAAGTGGGGCCAGAAGGTGGAGACACTGACAGCTGTTGACCGAGCCCTGGCCACTGTGGACAGATGGCCGCCAGGCTTCCCGGCTGGACGCCGCAGAGCCCCGGCCTTCTCTGTGGGTGTGTCCGCCTCTCCACTGGAGAACAGAACCCTGTCCTTGCAGCCGGTCAGCACTGAAATGTTGAAACTCAGCTGTCAAAACAATGTCCCGGGGGAAGCTCCAGGGCCTCAGCTTCCTCCCTGAGCCCTTGGGCCTCTGCCTGAGGGGCACCACGTGAATAAGAGGCCTTCATGCTGGGCCCAGCCCTGCTACGGAACCTGGGGGCTTCTGGGCCTCAGTGTCTTCATCTGTAAAATGGGACAAAAGAATCGTAGGTCTGCACCCCACAAAGGGGCACCTTTTCTGAATGTAGGCCTGGACACAGCAGGTCCTGTCTGTCCAGCCAAAGGACCGTTTCTACACCTGCTCTGCTGTTCCTGGACCAGCACAGTGAGGGCCTTCGCTGCGCCTCAGAGGATGGAGAGACCTGCGGAGGAACTGGGGACCAACAACTGTGAAAACGCTGACGTCTGCAACCACACACTTCACGAGTCACTCAGAGCAATTCCCTGTTATCTCTAAAATTCTACTTGAACTGCCATTTGACCCAGTGATCCCACTTCTAGGAATATACCCTAAGAAGCCTGAAACACCAATCAGAAAGAAATATGTACCTCCATGTTCATAGCAGCACTATTTACAATAGCTAAGATCTGGATACAGCCCAAATGTCCATCAGTAGACGAGTGGATAAAAAAACTTTGGTACATTTACACAATGGAGTACTATGCAGCTGTAAGAAAGAAAGATCTCTTATCCTTTGAGACGACATGGAGGGACGTGGAGAGTATTATCCTAGGCGAAACAAGCCAAACAGAGAAAGACAAGTATCATATGATCTCACTTATTTGTGGAATATTATGAACATAACAGTCTGAGGAACGGGGTAATCCCAGAGATGTGAAAGTGGGGTACAGACTGACAATCCCCAGAAGAGGGGGTAGGGGGGAAGAGATAAACCACAGAACTTATATGCATGTATGCGTGACCAATGGACATGGACAACAGAGCTGGGGACAGGGCGGGGAGGGAGGAGGAGGAGGGAATCTGTGTGGGGGGGAGAAACATCTGTAACATAAATTAATTAATTAATTAATTAATTTTTAAAAAAATTCTACTTGGGCCCTGGCCGGTTTGGCTCAGCAGTTAGAGCGTCGGCCTGCGGTCCTGAGAGACCCGGGTTCGATTCCTGCTAAGGGTGCGTACCTCGGTTGCAGTTTGTCCCCGGCCCTGGTTGGTCGTGCGGGTGGCAGCCACTCGATGTGTTCCTTTCACATCGATGTTTCTCTCTCTCTCTCTGTTCCTCTCTCTCCCTCCCACTCTACCTGAACAAAAAATGGAAAAATGTCCTTGGGTGAGGATAAAATAAATAAATAAATAAATAAAATTCTACTTGGCTGCACTTGGATGTCTCCTTAAAACCGCTGCTTTAAATGTCCTGTCCACCACCGTCCCCAGGCACACCCTGCCTCTGCCACCTGGCCTGGCCCCGAGCTCACGCACAGAAGGGACCCGCAGGCTCCGGTGCTCTCTGTGCCCAGGATGGGCATGGCTGCGGGGGCACAGGCCAGAGGCCTGAGGGCAGGAGGCAATGCCACCCTCTCCCTGCCAGCTCTCTGCAGGGTGACTTGGGTCCCTGACTGTCAGCCACAGTCATCTCAGGTGTGGTCTCTGCACACCTGGCCCTCTCTGCTCCACAGCTGCACCCCTACCGAGCCCGCGGATCTCGGGGTGCCGCGGCTCCCAGCTGTTACTGGCTTCAGCACACGGACTCTCCCTCCTGGACCTCCTAAATTCCGCCCACAGGATGTAACAGTTCCTTTGACTAATTGTTTCTGTGTAAATTCTTCTTCGTTATATGTCATCTCTTTCCTGCCAGGATGCTAATAAAACGTTATGATTCATTTTTCAGCGAATTTTACTTTAAAACTTGGGTGAAGCCGTCGGGCTGGGTTCTAATTCATCCTACACAAACACTGGTCCGAGACTCCAGTTTGGACTCCGAATGGGGTCACACAGCCCCGAGAATTCTGCACACTCTCCCGCACCATCCCTAAAACGGTCGGGACATTGCAACCGTGGCTACAGGTGGTGAAAAGGCAAGTCCCCAGCAGACGCTGTCCTCCGAGACTTAGGTGGTGACCACCCCGTTCCCACCTGAACACCAAAGGTGACGGAGAGCTCACTGCCTCCCAAGGAGCCAGCGTAATTTTTTCAAAAAATATCTTACAAAATAAAAAGAAGTATCACTTTCCATGGTTGAAGCTTCGTCCTAATTCAAAATGAATGTTGAGGTGAGATCAAAGAAGAACTTCTCCCAGCCGGCCAGTGTGGCTCAGTGGATGAAGCGTCCTCCCATGGACTGGGGGGCCGGGCTTCATTCCAGGTCGGGGCACATGCCCGGGTTGTGGGCTCGATCCCAGTAGGGGGCATGCAGGAGGCGGCCAATAGATGTTCTCTCTCATCAATGTTTCTTTTTTTTGGGGGGGGGGGAGAAAAAGTAGTTTTATTTTAATTTCATGCTTCAAATTCGTATATGCACATTAAGTACTACATAAACTTGTCTTTGGGATATAATTGAGTTGGGCAACGTCAGTTCACCTTAATTTATGTGGAGAAATACAACTTGGCCATTCTGCCTAGAAATATCAAAAAAGCTGCCAAATTAGAAAACAGGGCACTTAACAATCAAATTTTTAATTGATTCATCACATTCTTATTTTCTGTTGGGTTAACGTTATACTTAGCATTTATTTTTAGGTAGGTAAAACATGTTATCAAGGGAATTATGTAAGAAATCACACATCTTTTGTGTAAGTTGCCCCTGGTTGCACTTACTGGTGACCAAAAAACACTGGCATGATTATATTCATGTCATAGGTTACAAGTTGTTCAAAATCGATGTGAATTTTTAAGGTTAGATGGACCCTTTGAGTTAATCTTTGGGCATAAGGAATAAAAATGAAAACAGTCTCGTACTGCATTTCATATCTCTTACAAATAGGAAGTGTTTTAGCAGCTTTATAAACCTTTTCAGTTATAGTTATATAAAACTTAGTACACTATGATTTATTTTGAAATATAGTTTACAACCAGATCAATTATAACACATACACTGGCACTTAAGCACAGGGCAGACTTTAAAAACAAATTATTTTGGACCTTTAAAATTAGGCCGTAGTGTAAAAAGTGTCCATGATCTTACATTCAGCGAATTCATACTAAAATACTCTATTTTTGTAAGATGAATGCCAAAACTTTACATATGCTACAAATTTATTCCATATATTTACATGGCTCTTTCTTCCCTGAGGTACTCAAAACCTTCACATTATATAGCTCCCTACTCTAAGCAAGCTTTGCAGGGATGATGAGGCCAGATCACTGTCAGAATAGCCTATGCAGTGTATAATACAAAAATGTATTTTGAAAGCTACTCTGACCACCAAATACTGTTTCTATAAAAAGTGGTTTGGGCACATTTGTTAAGAGTCACCTATCCATTACGTCAAGAAATGGGGCCACTAGAAGACACTGTCTCATCCTAAATAGCTCCTAGTGCCCCTTCCACTCACCACCATTCAGTTTACTCAACTGCAACCATTCTGTAAGGAAAATTCCCATTTTCTTTTGGCAGTGCATCAGGTTGTTGGCTTATTACTGGTTTATGTGTTTCTAGGATATTAAACTTTCAAATACCCAACTAGTTCTTAATCCCTGTCTTAACTAGATGCTTATAATCAGATTCACTAGCTTTCAATAAGTAAATCTACTGACTTCTGAGTGATAATCTTAAATCAGTCTTTTATCACAACAAGCAATAGAAAAAGTCGATTTCCTTTACCGTTCCCTAAACCTAAACTTTATTGATTTCACTTGAGTTACTCAATTGAGAATACTTGATACCAAGTGCAATTATCAGTAATTTAGTTATTTTAAGTGGCACTGATACTACCATTACATCACAGTGCACAGCAACACAAAACAAGATAACGTCTAATTATATTTTCTACATTAATTAGCGGTTTTACACAGAGATTAATTACTAGCATTGAGTTTGGTATGAAACAGTTGACAACTACCCTTAAATATTACTAAATTTAAACATTAGTACTTTATCTTATTTTATACCTGTACTTTAAGTAAGGTTTTAAGTTGAAATGTCATTATTTCCCTATCAGAAGGATTAAAGGAAACAGGAACCCAGTGGCTTGGTGGTTTAGGAAGAACACTTGGTGATGGTGGCTCACTAAATTTGGCTCCAGCATCGTTCTGATTAGTTTGAGACTTAAACAGTAAGCTGGGACTTGATACGCTAGAGTTCCAATTTTGATTATTTGGAAAATTTTTGTTCTTCCCCCCATGTTGCATGGCCTGCCATGCAGCTGCTGATGTGTTGTAAGTATGTCCTCTTTCTTTTTTCTTATGAACAATCTTCATCTGGGAATTTTGATCCTTGGTCCTCTGTCTGTTAAGTTGGTGTGGGTTCTTACTAACATTTCTAGATTGAGGGGCTGGAATGTTATATCTCTCTCCACCACCCATCTTCAGCTTCTTCGTCACCTTTCAGTCTGCTTGTCAGATTGCAGGATTCCTGCTCCCGTCCTCTTCCTTGCTGCCAAGCCCAGGATAATAGGTGTTGCTTTCTGACAGATCCTTTCCTCTGTCTCAAGACACACGTTTTCATGGGCCCATCTGCTGAGTTCAGCCTGGGAGCTGAGGCCAACATCTGAGTCTCCTCAGCACACAAGTTTGAGAGAAGTCCTAGCGACTTCAAGCTCGGGACTGTGGCGGCGGCTCCTGCTCGGCCATGCAGCCCCTCCCCTTCCCGGGAGAGACCGGCACCGGACGAACAAGCCACGAGCACCGACGGGCCAGCTGCTCACCACCTCAGCGTCACGACCACTTCCTCTTTCTCGTCAATGTTTCTATCTCTCTCTCCCTTCCCCTCTCTCTAAAATCAATAATGAAAGAAATATGATTCTTTTATTTGACAGTATTTTGAAATGTGGCTGAGGAGGAATCTAACAGATAAAATGAACTACAGAAAGAGTCAAGCTTTGAGTATGAAAGGTATAGTAATAAGAAGAATGTCTAGGCCAAAGACTAAAATAGATACATTAAAATCACAAATAAAACGATGAATTTAGTGAATTCAGGCGTGTGTGTGTGTGTGCGTGTGCTCGAGACAATGTAAGGGGGCAACAGAATCACACAGAGCTGCTGGTAGAACGTGAAGGAAATCCCCTCGGTAGTCCTGAGTCATCTCAGAGGTAGAACATTTGATTGGAAAAGTCACGAAGACAAACGTCTTTATTTCATGTCCCGTGGCATAGTTAATGACATCAGAGGAAGACAACGTATTACGATACTGAGTGATATTGGAAAATGGTCCTTCTGGCTTATTCAACAGCAGACCAGGACACAGACAGCCGGCAGACGAAATGTGGGTTCCCACTGCAAGTTCGAATTCCCATCGTGTCTCATTACGAGAAGTTGGTCTTCTTAAAAATCTTTGTTTAGTCGAACTGGAGATCAAAGACAACCCCCTGGTCACCACAGAGAACTATCTACCCCAGAAAGCCAGGGGTCAGGACAGAGGCACCGTTAATTTTTTATTGCTCGTATCTCCTGGGAAGCCTGAGTCATAAAATGTGTTTATCTTCTGTGATCAAGATAAGCATTTCTGTGCTGCGGCTGGACCCGCGTGTCCGTGATCGCGACGTCCTGCGTGAACTGCACGCGAGCCTGTGCGTGTACGTGTACCGCGGTGATTCTGAAGGAAGGTAGGCTCCCTGGCGCCTCTTCTGTCCGTGACGATCGGCGTGATCAGCCCCGGCCAGCAGTTTGCGCTCAGGACGCCGCCGATGATGTGATCGACTCCTTTCGGGTTAATGAGAAGATTAAAGAGGCCGACTTCCTATCTGTGATGTGCTGGCGTCTGGTCGTGAAAGCAAAACCCACACCGTGGGGAGCCGCACCGCCCACGCGGGTTTGCTTTCTCTCCATGAGGAACGAGAAAACCAGGGAGGAAGTGGAATCACATGACACACAGAGGGGAGACGTGTGGGAATCAAAGTGACCCTCCTGGAGCGAGGTCGCGGTCACTTCGTGGCGAGTTGCCAGCAGGCTTTTCCTTTCCTTTAGTGAAACAATGTTCATGGGTCTCATTAATGCTGCTTATTTACATTTTATCTACTTTCAGGTTTGTTTATGCTTCTGCGATAATTTGTGTCTGTTGTCATGGTAGACTCCAGACGTCGGTGCTTGGTTTTCTGCACACGGGGTCACAAAGCGTCCAAACGTCCTTCCTCTCGGAGGGAAGCGAGTGGAGGGAATTTGGGCTTGTGTCTCAGGATGCCTGCAGGGTGCCTGTGCCCTGGCTGGTTCATTTCTTCCACTTGGGGGACCTTTGTTTTCACACATATAAAACGGGCGGTCTGGACACGGACCACGCTTCTCAGACTTGACGGAGCATCAGCATCACTGGGGGAGCCCGCTCACTGGGGGAGCCCGCACGCGCACGGTCTCCGTCCCGAGCCTCCGAGACTCCAAGTGGGCAGATCAGTGGGCGGCTTCTGGCTCCAGAGACACGGCTTGTGAGCGAGCCCCGGGCCGTCCAGGGGGGTGTCCTGGCCGCATGTTGAGAAACGTGAGACCACGCCTAGACCACGGTTCTTGTCCTCAGGTGCATCCGAACCCGGGGAACGGGGAAACGATGTGGATGTCTGAGCCCTAACCCGGCCCGGGAGGGAAACTGCCGGGTCGTCCAGCAGTTCTGTTTTTAGTTTTCCGAAGCACCTGCATGTGGCCCCGCAGTGTTTGTACCAGTGCGACCTCTTCCGACGGCTGTGAGGGCTCCCTTTCCTCCAGTGCTCGCCAGCACTTGCGGTTTGACTTTGGTGGTGACATCTCACTGCGGTTTTGATTTGCACTCTCTGATGATTAGTGACGCTGAGCATCTTTTCGTAGGCCCATCGACAGATGAATGGATAAGACAGATGTGGTATATGTGTGCAATGGAATATTGCTCAGCAATAAAAAAGAACGGAACCCTGCCGTTTATGACGACATGGGTAGACCTAGAGGGTGTTATGCTAAGTGAGATAAGACAGAGAAAAGCAGATCACGAATGATTTCACTTATCTAAAAAATGTAAAAAAGAAAAACAGAACAAATAAAATAAAACAGAAACAGACTCAGATACAGAGAACAAACTGAAGGTTGCCAGGGGGAAGGGCCTGGGGGGTGAAGAAGGTAAAGGGGAATAAGAAATACGGACTCCAGTTATAAAATGAGTAAGTCACAGGATGGGCTGTAACAGGGAATATAACCAATAATATTGTAATAACTGTGCCTGGGGCAGAGGGCTCCAGTCACATCATGGCATCACAGCATGAGGTATATAAATATAGAATCCTCTGTTGTAGGTCCAGAACCACTGGACTATGTGTGTCCACTATACTTTAAATGACGCAGAACTCCGGCAGGGACGCTAGGTGCGGTCAGAATCAAAACCACTGTTCTCCACAGGTGGGCTGGGTCCTCTACAGTGTGAACCCACGACTTGAGCAGGTATCTCTGGGTCAGAAGACAAGCCAGGAAAGAGAGGTGGACGTGGAGGTCGCGAGCCGTGCGACAGGTCAACGAGGGGCAGCGGGGACGGCGGGAAGGATGGAAGGGAAGCTGAGTCCTCTCCTGCCACACATTCTACTGGACATCAGGTCAGTGGGGTCTCCTGCACGCTCTGGGACCTTGTCCATATACCTGGAGGGCAGATGCTGTCCCAGCGGACGCCTCTGATGCCTGGGACGGAAAAAATAACACACAAAGTGAAACTAACTAAACACAGGATAAGCGAACCGACAAGATGCTTCGCGCTTGGTGAAGGCGACCATCTCGGTGACATATCACCCCTGCTTTGATGCTCGGGCTCCGTGGATTTGGGGGAGCCCCAGGGAAGAAGCTGCACCCCCTTGACTTGTGAGACACACCCCTGCACCAGAACCAAGGGACCTGCCACCTTCCACGAAACGCCCAGAGTTTTCTAAAGAGAATGAAAGCAAACAGCACCACAGACTCTTTCCTCCTTTGATGGGCGATTTGGGAAACTGTCCACCAGCGTGTAGGTCTCTGAGGACGTGCGTGGATAGGTCAGGAGGCAGGACTCCGGCAATTTCCCTGTTCGCCGCTCACAGCAGCGTGCTCGAGCCCAGGAGGGAGGGGAGCCTGAAGGTGCCTGCCCGCCCTGTCTGTGTGCAGGGACGCGCTACCCAGCCTGGAAAGCAGCTTCTTGATCAAACGCCGCACCACGTGCTAGCTGCTGTGTCTGAGTCACGTACGGAGGACCTGCTATGGGCGTCTGCCAGTTATCAGACAGGGTCCCCAAAGCCCCTCGAGCAGTGCTCAGGGACCTCCAGACACTTCTGCTTGGGGTCAGGACGTATCACGGGACACACTGCGGACAGCCGTGGGGCGACAGTTAATGCAATCCCCGTTCACACAGTAGCCTTGTGTGTAACTGCAGTATTTGTAGACCAGGTGTCTCTTCTCCGAAACAACCACAAGGTGCTTCCTGCCTGGAACACAGACGGTACCACAGAGGAGCACAGAGAAGAGGCAGCAGCCTGGGAGTTTCCCTAAGGGAGCGCCCTGTGCGGTGAGTCCAGTCTTCCTGACAGGGTGATGGGGCAGGGGATGGGAGACGGGTGACAGGTGCATCTGACTCGAGCAAAGTTATGGGTTATTTACTGACGCATCTGTTCCGTGTTACGGAGAGCGTCTGCGCAGCCACAGCTGGGTGCGTACCCGGTTGTGTTCATCCTGTGGATGGAGGTTGTGTAAGCCGAGTACAAAGAAGGATTTTCCGAAAGGATGGACTGAACTGTTCGACTTCTAGGCCTCAGCGGGCATCTTTGAGTCCCCAGCACTGGGCACCAGGTTCCCCACTGGCCTCGGGTCCTTCAGCTCCTCCTCCAGCGACTGAACCTCACAGACAGGTGGGTTCCCGGCAATGCGTCAGGAAAACAGACTTCTGGCCCGAATGCCCTCCAAGTGTATCTCAGTGCGGTGTGGTAATGGTTTTATTTGCAAAGTGACAGAGAGGATTGGATGCCCAGATAGTTCGTCTAATCACCTGCTTTTCTACCCCAGCCGCCCCTGCTGCCACGTGGCAGACCTCAGTCAATCTCGAGGAACATGGCGATGGCTCCCCAACCACCCAGGGTATACCCGAGGCTCCAGCCTGTCCCCTCGCCACCCCCGGACGGCGCCCCTCCCCGTGGCGGTGTCCTCCCTGGTCCCTCCCGCCACCTCGGCCAGCGTTCTGCTTCCGGGTTTCTGCCTTTCCGTTCTGACCCTACTGTCATGACTACGGAATCCAGCTGCTGTGGTTCCCTATCCCCCACTAAAACCAGTCCAGAATGCTCTGTATTCCCTTAACCTCTGTCTCGCGTGGACCCTTTCGTTCTAGTCTCCTGGCCAACCACCCAGCCGTCTACGCTCATTTCCGTAAAAGCCCACGAACTCGGTGGCTCTTTGGTGCCTCCGCAGGTGCTGTTGCCTCTGCC